ATTTGTTTAGTTACAATGTTATATTTTTCTTTGAAGAATGATCAATGAATTAGAAAGAATATACTTGATATTTTATGTTCTAAGTATGTTCTAAGTACAAAAATAAATAAAAAAAACAAAAAAAAAACTTCAACTACTAAAATTTTATGTATATATTACAGTAACAGGAGGGTCAGAGACTGCCCCAATAGGATATTGTACTAAGAATTTTACAAATAGTAAAGCAACATGTCCTATCAAAGCAAGTAAATCTATGTGTATGAATAAGTTGAAAGGAGACGGTTTTTGCCAGGAAGTGAACAAGAAAGGAGCTATGTATTGCCAATGCTTTTATAGGTGTCCCTCAGGCACGCCCATTCCTAGGTATGGGCCCTAAAATGTATAGAATAAGAGAGACCAATGCCTTAACAATGTGTTAGATAGGCACGAGTCTGCCTTCAGGGACCTAAGAAGTAAGAATGCACCTGCCTTTATCAGTGCTGTTATTGGTTTATATTAGTGTTGTTAGAAAATTATATTGTACACGAAAATATGGTGATTATGAGTTTGTGGCCTAATGGTTTATATTAGTATTAGAGAATTACAATGTAGTAGACTAAGATATGGTAATTTTCGTTTGTGAGTTGTTTATATATATATATATATATATCTTATATTTATGATATAAATGGTTTGAAAAAGATACTTTAGCGTTAGTTCTTACTTAATTTCATAAAAAAAATATGAAAGCAAAGAAAGGAAGACGATAAACAACTTGATTATTTCTTTTTACATTTTTTCGCAAAGTCTAATCACTTTCAGTTTATATGCAAAATCTAACAACCTAGCGTTTTATTCAATCTAACATGCATCATTCTCTAACAATCATTCATGCTTCCTCATTCCTCCATCATGCTTCACATCATTCATTTATGCAACAAACACTCTTCCTTTTAGTCGAGCAGCACCGTCGGTTAATTTACCCCAGCCCTGTGGGCCAAACTCTTAATTACTTGTATCTTTCTTTCCTCTTATCTCCACACAATCAATCAACATGCTCATGACCATGTCTAATAACCTAGGCTCACTCATCTAACAACTTAATCCCAGACTATGTGTGTGAACATGCAATGAATCTACGAATCACATGTTCACAATGGCAATGACTTCCGTAGCCCACGATTTCCCGTTCACTTCCACCCAATCGATCATGGCTCAACTTTGAAGATGTAGTTGCTATCTGATGAAGTTGTTGAATGAGTCAAGAAGTAATACAAGATTTTGTCTGATGGAGTTGCTGAATGATGCAAGAAGTAATTCAAGATGCGACTGTTTTTGTGTGAGTATCGGTTTCTAGAAGGTTTAAAAGATATGTTTGGAGCGTGTTTAGAGGATGAATCACAAAGGAAAAAAGACTTAAAGAGATTTGGAAGACTTGATGAAAGTGGAGTTTGATGAGGAAAAGGAAAAGTGTAAAAAGAAATTTACTTTTTCTTATGGAAATTGGAAATCTTCTCCTATGGTGATTAGGAAATCGTTTTGGCTATATAAGGAGGACCTGAGGACGTCTTGGAGAAGCCAGAGAGCTGAGGCATAGAGACAAATCATTGAGAACTTTCTAAGGGTGTGTGCGACATAGTTTCGCGGTTTTGTGCGACATAGTTTCGCGGTTTGATGCTTGTATGATCAAGCTTATTTTTTTGTTGGTGTAACGTTCGTGTGTGACGGTTGGTCCAGAGACTTGAAGAATTGAAGTCTAGACTAAGGGGGAGTTTAGCTCAAGGTTAGGTTATCCTGATTAAATCTAGACTCAGGAGGAGTTTAGTTAAGGGTAGAGATTATCCTTAAGGTTTCACGTTATAGAAGGGAGCGATAAATCAAGAGGGTTGTGCCTGTTTTACGCGTTTGCGAATTAATTGTAATTTGCTTTCTTGTTCTAGTGAAATCGAAATCTGGACTTAGTCCCGGGGAGTAGGAAAAACCGAACCTCGTTAGCAAATTTCTTGTCTCGTTTACTTTCTGCAATTTATCTTACCTCATCCGCACTTACAAACTTCTCTCTCCTTTTCCTTTATCTAAACCCGAGGGTTTTCTCTCTCTAAAGTTGTTCTTTCTCTACGTTTTTTTCTCCTCTCACAACCATAAATCTCTCTCTCTCTCCCTCTCCAGTAGCGCGGCTCCTCCTTAGTTTGATTCATAGAAAGTGCAGTAACTTGCAGATTAATAAATGCAAAGTATATGAGAATTTCCTGTAGGACCGCGAAATCCCGATTTAAAAACAGAGAGAAAGAACTTTAGAAAACGATTTAAGAGAGACGGTTTTAGAAACGAGTGAAGACGAGATATGATATCTCTTTCCTTAATCCAAACTAGCTCCTGCAGTGTGGCGGTTTTATGAGCAGCGGATCGCAGGATACAATCACTATGAGACCGATATCGCAACACTCGATAGCGAAATCTACAAACTTGAAATAATACGATATACTCTTGACTTACTTTGAGAAGAAAGGGAGAGATGAGAGAGAGTTTTTGTTGTTGCGTTTTTCGTGTAAAAAGCATAAATGAAACGAGAGAGAGAGGTGTTGCTTTTATAAGCTCAGCTCGGCACGGCGGCGGTGGCGCGCTCGCGCGTGTGGTTCGTTTTGCATAATATGCATGTATCTCCTACACCATAGTCTCCCCTTCCCAATAGCTAGTGAACTATGTTGTATGTGAAACACTATATACTAGAGAAATTTTTTCCAAACTTCCAATGTAGGACAAAATTATATTTGTTGGTATAAGTTTTCAAGCTCACCACTTTGGACCTCAATTACTCATTCAATATAACTTCAATTTTAACATGTAAATACACTATTTTATAGTGCTCATTATAAGGAATCCAAAGACTCTATTATCCGGTCATTCCGGTGACGGACTTCACTGGAAAAGTTGCCGGAAAGTTGGCCGGAGCCACTTTGTAAAAATTGAGTTCCAACAGTTTCAGAGTGATGAAAGTAAAGCCGTGTGTCGTGGTCTCATGTGTTTTGGAAAAAGCATGCTCATAGTGGCGGAGCCTGAATATTATATCATGGGGTCATATATTAATAAAATTACATAATAATATTAAATTATTTATCTTATATTATTGTTAAAATTAAATTTTGATTATTTTAAGCATTATTTTTTTCTTTTAAATATTAATAAAACATAACTGAAAATAACATCATGTATTATTTTCACAAACCCCATAACTTATAGATGTTTTTCCATAAATATAGATAAAGTTTTAGAAATATTTAAATCTTTGTATACAAAATGTATTAAATATAAATATTCTGTTTCTCAAGATGTATAAGAATGAAAAAAAAAAAAATAATATGTAAGACATTAAAATTATGTAGTAAAACTTAAAACGACTATAGAGGCACACAAATAAGATCAATTAAATAAAGAAAATTTGCAAGAGATGGTCAAAAGGAATAGTTTAACATGAGTCATAGGGGTCAACTAAGAAGAATCAAGCCAAGCCAAAATAAGCCATCATATACCATTTAAGCATGCAAACAAGAATTCTTAAATGTTATGGGGTTAGTTGACCCCCTTGGTCCTGAGTTAGCTCCGCCTCTGCATGTTCTTTATGAAGATGTCGTATATGCGGAAGCGTCTGTCGTGTATCCAAATGTTTCATGGAGAGTAGCGTTGTGGAATCGTTGTTCGTTGGACATGTTCAGTGTAATCACATATTTGATCTCTAATGATAATGATAATGTAGTAAATGAAAAAGACAAAACAAAAAAAAAAGTATAAGCCAAGCAGTTAATATTTTGAAATTTTTTTTTGGTTAATTGTAAATGAAAAGCCGAAACGCAAATAATATCAGAAATGGTAGTTGTATTTAATGTTTTTGTTACATTTTATATATATATATATATATATATATATATATATATAGTCGTTGGACATGTTCAATGTAATCACATATTTGATCTCTAATGATAATGTAGTAAATGACAAAGACAAAATAATAATAAAAAAAGTATAAGCCAAGCAGTTAATATTTTGAAATATTTTTTTTGGTTAATTGTAAATGCAAAGCCGAAACGCAAATAATATCAGAAATTGTAGTTGTATTTAATGTTTTTGTTACATTATATATATATATATATATATATATATATACTTTTGAATATTTGAAAATGTTGTTCTTATGTGATATTTTTAAAATATATATATTTTCCATGTAAATGCAAATAATAAAAGAAAAAATAGGGGAAAAGCCCATTTAATGGTTGGTCAGATTTGAGGTGGTCATAATTGTGACTCACTTGCCAATTATACTCACGGTCACGGAGCCTTTTGCTTGTAGACAAAGGGTTTGTAACCATTTTTTCGATGTTGCCCAGAAGGGCAAATAATTAGTTGACCTTCACTTTGTTCTCTATAACTTAATAGTTTGTATAGGGGATATCAATTAGATACAAATGTTTAATTAAAAAAAAAAGAAGTAGCAAACCCTTTAACCAAGACCAATTATATAAATTAATCAAATAAAATTAAAATGAAATTATTGACCAGATAAATAATGAATATAGATCATGTTTTCTTTTTTTTTTTCTTTTGTCAACTCAAATTTTCAGATTGTTTTTTGTAGTCTAAGTTTGGTTGATGAAATTCAACAAAAAAATCTATTTTTTATGGAAATATATCTCTTTATTCTCATACAAATTAAATAATTCTTTACAAATGTGGAAGACCTATTATACATATAGACATATATATCAACACAATCATTTATGAGTAAGTTTCTTAATATCATATATTGAAGAAAATGTTAAAAAGGTTATAAATCTATATATATGTATCTGTTTAAAAAAATGTTGAAAATTTTCTTTTTAAAAAGTCAACAATTTTTTGTATCAAACAGTGAAGCTTAATCCTTAAGCTTTCCCTCAAACAATTTTTACCATAAAATAAGATTTAAATTATAACATACCTAATAGTTTTTATCTATATATTCTAACTATCCATGTTCCTATGGTATAATAATATCTTCTAACATTAATTTTGAAACTTGTTTCTCTCTAATTTTGTTTTTTTCAAAGTGAGATCCAAATTTATTTCAAGAGGTACTTACTAACATACACAATGGCAACAAACAAATTTTCATCTATTGTGTTGCTTTCGTTGATGGTGTTTGCTGCTATTTTGTTGCCAATGATTTCAGGTAACCTATCTATCATCTATTAAAATTTGGTTACTAATGTTATGATAAATAATTTTACTTTAAAATGTTTCTTATGTACTTTTAATAAGGTGACTTGTTTCTGAGTAATCGGTGATATGATATTTTATAAAGTTAACAAAATATATTATTAAAGTTACCGTGTATTTCTAAGAAAAACAAAACCTACAGTAATTTTTTTTGTTGAAGGTTTTAATTAGCTCATGGGTGTAAAGCATAAACTATAAAAAAATATAGCCAAAAATTAAAAGTTTTTAAGTTGTATATTTACTTTTACGTGAAAATATTTTTACTCCACTACGACAAAAAGTCACTTTTGCAGGTTATTTTTAAAATTTAAAGGTCGCAATATTTACTTTTACGTGAAAATATTTTTACTCCACTACGACAAAAGGTCACTTTTGCAGATTATTTTTAAAATTTAAAGGTCACAACTTTTAGATCACCAGTGCAATTAGATTAAAACAAATATTATATTTTAAACTAACTAGTCATGGTTTTAAAAATAGAGTTTAAAATCAAATCAATATCAGAAGAAAAAAACGTGCACTAGTAAGAAAACAGTCGTTTATTGAAATTAATCAATTTTTATTTTAAAGTCGTTGAATTTGTTTGTTTATAAACTAAACAGGACAAATGATACCATGTTTAGAGGGGGTATGTACAGACTCATCGGAGTGCAATGAACCCTGCAAATCAAAAGGATACCAAGGAGGGGCTTGTGTACGCATGAGCATAGACTTACCCACCGGTGCTTGTTGTTGTAAACCTAATTTCAAATCTCAAGATTCTTTCGAATCTACTGATGTTAGTGTCCATATTAATAATTAGTACATCAATAGATATGTACTTTTTGATATGACTAAAAATATATTCAAATATGTTTCGGTATCAATGACTCGATTTATATATGTTTCGATCTGGAATCTATATTTATGGATAGATAATCATTGGTAAGTTCATAACGCTGCAAACATCAGATCTTATATATTAATAAAGCAAGTGAATGATATTCATGTTAATTATACTTATATAAATTTATTTATATCTCACTCTTACCATACAAATACAATTAAAAATATTTGTTCGATGTTAAGTGAGAAATAAAGAATTTTTTTTTTGTGTTATCAACAAGATGTAATATGCGGATTTGAATCCGGGTGATGATACAAATTTATTTATATCTCACTCTTACCATACAAATACAATTAAAAATATTTGTTCGATGTTAAGTGAGAAATAAATAAATTTTTTTTTTTTTGTGTTATCAACAAAATGTAATATGCGGATTTGAATCCGGGTGATGATACAAAGACGACACTAACACAAATTACTAGGCTATATTTTTTTTTTGCTATATCATATGAGTTTTTTTATTTAGTTTTAAATGATTTTGATGAGTTTCAGTGAATTTGGAGAAGATATTAGGATCATTTAAATTTTCTTTTCTCGGATAATTAACTTTTATAGTAGCAAGTAAAAAGAAGATTATAATTGATTTGATAATTTAATGATGATACATATTACAAGATTATGATGGATTTTTTTCTGACTATTACAACATCATCAAAGATATTTTTATGTTAATCTTATTATGATGATATTCAACTACATGTAGCATATACAATTATTATGAACAATTTCCACAAACAACAATTCCACAACACTCATCTCTCTGCAATACTCGGATCTACAACAGACAGTTATGCACGTATGACATCTGTGATGGACATGATCTCATTGCAACACTCGAGACCACGACGAATGACTCTACATGCTTCACTCTGGACCTCCGATAATCTTTATACCATTAGTCTGCAAAAAATTATGCTATTTGGGAATTGGATCGCAGTCCTAATATAGAAGTATTAATTTATATTTGGTCAACCATTAGACCAAAAAGAATTCTACAATTATAATAGATTATATTGGGAACAACAGTGAATAGTTTTGTCTACATTGTGTAGCATTTGTTGAAAAAGAGTTAATTATGTTAGGCATATTAGAAAATTCGGGAAGTATGTAATTTAAGTCTTGATGTTGGATTGCCCATATTATTCTAAAACTAGGGAGGTATTTGATTTACTAGAGCTTAGTATGCGGCCATAAAAACAAAAGAATGATTTGAAAAAAAAAAACCACATTTTGGCAGTCATCACGACATGAGAAGAAAGAAAATGCTCTCCTTTTCTCTCTCAGGCACGGAGTCCAAAGTGACCAAAAGAAGTAATGGATTCAAATCGAAGTAGATCTAAACATCTTTCTACTTCCATTTCGAGTAATTCTTGTTATGCCCATTGGGCAATGCAATAGTTTATTCTGGTTCTTGCCAAACCTTCTAGACAGTCCTCTTCCCCTCTCTTTACCCTGCAAGCCAAAGTTGTCCTCAAATACTCTTTCTCTTTTCAAGATAAGCACGCACCCAGCTTAAACCTTTTCTTCACTCTTTAGCTACATCCTCTATGATGAAATTTTTATTTCCCCCTTTGCTGTTCTGTTTTTCTCAAAGGCTTTTGCCACTTTGTTTTTCTCTAAGCTTTTCACTTTTCTCTCAAGAATGAAGAACACTTACATAAAAGGACAAGCAAGTACGGATTCTTTCTCTGAGGATGACGAGCCAGTCCAACTCCGACAACGCTCCTTTGATCAACAGATTTCGTCTCATAGTGGTGGGATGTATCTTTCACACTGGTGGAAGATACATGGAAGCTTTTCTGGCTTTTATGCCAAGTGCTGGAATTTGGGATGTAGAAGGTAGAGTTCGAGGATTTGACCTGGAAAATGGAAGATTTCATTTTAACTTTGAATCTGAAGAAAATCTTCAAAAAGTTCTAAAGAAGAGACCTTGCCATTTCAACTTATGGACCTTTTTCCTGGAAAGATGGGAACTCAACTTCCAGGAGGATCTCCTGTGCTTTGTAAACTTTTGGGTGAAGAAAACAGATCTCCCTCTCCGCTGCTGGGTGGAGGAAGCTTTCAGAGGGATTGGCAATGCTCTTGGTCTTGTCTCGGAGGTGGGTGTCATGGAGGCACGAATGATGGTTGCTATGAATGTCACAAAACCTCTAAAATTCAAAAAGAGGGTGTTGATAGACAATGGAGAAGAAGTTTTAGTCACTATCTCTTATGAGAAGCTTTTTCTGTTTTGCTTTACCTATCACTTGATTTCCCACGAGGAACGTGACTGTCCCCACTCTCAGAGCATCAGAGAAAACTTAACGAAGAGAGGCGAGTAGGATCTTTACCTCTTGGGGATCACATACCAGATGAGGAAAAAGCTTTGGTTGGTCGCAGGGAGAGAGATCAACGTGTTGAATCCAGAAACTATGAGGTTAGACGGAGTGCAGGTCGAGACTCCGGGCTCAAATCTGGTCTAGATGCACCTCGTATAACAACAGTACAATCCTCTCAAAGTGAAAAGCCACTTGCAAACCGCAGTGTGAGGAAAAATCTCTACTTATCAAAAGAGGCTCCTCGGTCTGAAGTGCATAGATACCCTGTCTGGCAACGCATAGGGGGGGATAGTGCCAAGTCTCATCCCCGTAACAGGGAGATTTCTATGCAGTCTTCTGCTGGCTCGCAGAAGAGGAATGAGGAATAATGTTTTGTACCGAGTGCTCGACATAAGGTCGCGTCAAGAAGAAGGGAATCTCCACTTTGAATTCGGTCACCTTCCAGGAATGAACCAAGCTTGGAACATTGGAGAAGCTCTCGTCGCCCTCCTCGTCACCACTCAAATCGCTTTATCGTGGATCTAGCAGCTCTGCCTGCTAAAGATAAAGGGAAACAAAAGATGACGGAGGTGGAAAACGACCCAATGAATCGAAATGAGGATGATGATATGGAAATTACAAATCTGATCCTCATGAATTCGGTTCTGGATCTAAGACTGTCAGATCCAATGAAAAGCTACTCGACCAATCTGTTCCCCCCCCCCCAAGCTGAAAAATCTACGCCAATCAGCTTTGAAGCTACTCCTCATGAGACGGAACTCCCTGTCACGATGGTGGATGTCACATCACAGGATATAGATGGTGTACCTAATTGGATGGAGGACGACGATGGCCTAGCAGACTGGGTGGAGGATGATAACGGCTTGTCTGATTGGGCAGAGGAAGATAACCTAGACATGATTGCTGACGAGAATCAGGTGATCCAGTGCACTCAAGGTGGTGACTCTATCCCATCTGATTGGGAGAATCTGGCTGAGGCATATGTGGAATTAGAGAAAGAGCTTACTGAGGAGGACTTTAGATTGATAAAGGAGCTAGAGAATCAAATGATTTTTGATGGTTTGCTCGACAACGATGATTTGCTCAGAGAGGAAATGATGGGAGGTGAACCAGAGGGGAGAATTGAAGCCGATGACAGCCAGGAAAGTACGATTTCGAAGTAAGTAATTCACATATCTCTTCGGATGGAGGAGATTCCGGCGACATCATAGTCTCCCTCGAGTAAAAGCATTAGATCTCTAAGTCGCGAAAGAAGGGGAAGTAGGTTAACATAGATTAGTGGGCCAGAAAAGACTGATGGAGATCCAAATCTGTAAAAAGGGGTTTATGATCACAGAAAGAAGGTGGTTCTCCAAAGAAAAAAAAGTCTTTTACGGCTGCTTCCAAGAAACTTAAGCTATTTCACGGCAAAAGTTCGCCCAAAAAAAGATCGATTCCGGAAACAAGTGGCCCAATGGGCGAAGTCCCATCAAGCCACGATGGCAACATCCCTCGAACTGAGGTGGTCACAATGATGAACAATAAGAAGAAGGAACAAAGGCATCGAAGCCAAAGGAAGGTAAGGAGGAGTCCCTGATCTCCGCCGATCCCCCCACATGAGGACCTTAGCATGGAACTGTTAAGGGGCGGGAGCAAAGGATACTCGTCATCGACAGGTAGAAATGTGCCGGATGTACTCGCCAGGATTTTTATTTTTATCGGAAACTAAGAATAAGAAATTATATCTGCAAGATGTGCAAGTTGAGTTAGCTTTATTGTATTCGAGTGATTTTCCTATTAGGTTTTCGTTGTTAGATGACCGGCTAATCGATATCGAAACTATTATTAATTGAAATCGGGTCTTTGAGACATTTATTTATGGTGATCATGTTGTCTCAAATCGTGAATATGTGTGGGAACGATTGATGCGTATCGGAGTCTCTAGATCCGAGGCATAGTTTATTATTGGAGATTTTAATGAGACAACATGAAACCATGAGAAAAGAGGAGGAAAAAACATTACGAAGCCTCCTTTCTCCCATTTCGTGTTATGATCCATTCGTGTGGACTTATTAATTTTCTCTTTCATGGAAATCAGTTTTCCTAGATTGGACAACGGTCAAATGGTAAGATTAGATATCGTTTAAACAGAGCCATGGGAAATGAAGAAAGACATAATATTTTTTCCTACACTAATGTGGAGTAATTAAAGATGTGGAACTCAGATCATAGACCTTTACTCGCATCTATACAAGCAAGTCTGAGAAAGATCTCGAGAAAATTCATGTTTGACAAAAGATGGATTGGAAAACCCGGACTAAAGGAAAGAGTGTTGGAAGGGTGGAACGGAGATGGTGGTCGGGTAGACCGTCCCATTATGAAAAAAATCCAGAACTGTAAACGAGTAATCTCCATATGGAAGAAATCAACCCGAACAAATTCAGAGATACTTATTATAGAACTCTTTGATAAGATTAAGGAAAATTATGCTGACGATAACGCTTATTTGGAAGATCTTCGGGATCTTAAAAAGAGATTGGGAGATGCCTATATAAAAGAAGAAATATTTGGTATCAGAAGAGTCGCCAGAATTGACTGGCACTTGGAGATAAAAATATAAAATATTTTCATGCCTCAACAAAACAAAGAAGGGCAAATAACAAGATTATAGGCATCCTTGATAATAACGGGGCCTGGGTTGATAATGAAGAAGGCATTGAAAGAGTTGCTGTAGATTATTTTGAAAATTTGTTCTCATCCTCGAACACGGTAGACCCAGCCATAGCCCTTAGAGATATCTCCCCATCGATTACCTCAGTTATGAATGAGAGTTTAGTCAAAGAAGTCACATAAGAAGAAGTGAAGTGCGCCTTATTATCCCTAAACCCGACAAAGGCTCCGGATCCGGATGGGATGACTACTTTATTTTTCCAACTTTTTAGAAAGTAATAAAAGGCGATTTTACCAAAATAGTGAAGAATTTCTTTAGCTCCGGTATTTTTGATGGAAAGATGAATGAGAGCAATATTTGTCTTATCCCAAAAGGAGAAAGACCGCGCTTAATGTCAGGTTTTCACTCTATTAGCTTATGTAATGTAAGTTCTAAGGTAATTTCAAAAATTTTGAGCATGCGCCTTAAGATATTTCTTCCGGGCTTAATTTTCGAGACATAATCTGCATTCGTTGCGGGACGTTTGATTACTGATAATATCTTGATCGTTCAAGAGAACTTCCATACGCTTCGATCCAATCCGGCTAATAAGAAAAAGTTTATGGTACTAAAACCAGATATGAGTAAGTCTTATGAAAGAGTGGAATGGGGGTTCCTCTGAACTTTAATGGAAAAGATGGGCTTCAATCATAGATGGGTAGATTAGATAATGCAATGCATTACCTCAGTTTTATAGCGGATCCTGATAAATGGTGATCCAAAAGGCCGTATCAGACTATCTCGAGGCATCCGTCAAGGGGACCCAATTTCTCCGTACCTATTTATTTTGTGTATGGAAGCACTTATCGTTCAGATTAGAAAGGCCGAGAGGGAAGGCGAAATTCAGGGCCTTCGAAAATCATATGCGAGCCCACGAGTCTCACACCTTCTATTTGCTGATGATAGCTTATTTTTCTGTCTGGCCAATGCCGAACAGAGTAAGGAAGTTATTTACATCATCCACTCTTATGGTAGGTGTCAGGACAAGAGGTTAATTATCTAAATTGTCCATTATGTTGGTAATAAGGTCCCATCCCCTGTTTGGCAAGAAATTAAAAATGGTTCTTCGGATTTCACGTGAAGGCGGGATGGGAACATATTTAGGCCTTCGTGAAAAAATTCATGGCTCAAAAGCGCAAGACTTCGCGTTTGTGAGAGATAGATTACAAACTAGAGTGAACTCGTGGTCATCAAAGTTCTTTTCTAAAGATGGAAAAGAAGTCCTAATTAAATTACAGCACAGCTCTTCCGACATATGTAATGTCATGCTTCTTATTGCCAAAAGCAATATGTTCTAAACTTAATAGTGCGATTGCCAACTTCTGGTAGAGTAATAAAGCGGAGGGTCGAGGAATACACTGGATAGCTTGGGACCAAATCTGTACTCAATTATCAGATGGAGGGTTAGGATTTAGGTCTTTGGAAGATTTTAATCTGCAAAGCAATTATGGAGATTACTACAATTTTGAGAGTCTCTCCTTAGTCGGGTCTTTAAAGGACGTTGCTTCCGGTATTCTAGTTTGCTAAGATCACTGTCTCTAACCGACCGTTATATGGTTGGAGAAGCATGCTGGCTGCCAAAGACGTTATTAAACTTTGAATCCGCAAGACTATTGGCTTGGAGTTTGGAACATGTAATTGGACCGACCCTTGGAAACTAGATTCTCCGACGCGATCACCTAAGGGACTAACGATGGAGAGAGACCCTTTGGTGTACGCCAACACTCTAATCAACTTTGGGACTAAACAGTGGAAGTTGGACCGTCTTCGGAAATTGTTCCCCCAGAAGAAATTACCCTTATATTGGGGATTAAACCGAGCCTTAATGCCTCGAATGATGGATATTGTTGGACAATGACAAAGTCTGGTAATTACACCGTCAAATCTGGATACGAGGCAGCGAGAAATATTTCTCGCTCTGTTTACGACCACCCTTCTCATGGACCTAGTGTTACTACACTAAAAGCGCAAGCTTGCAAATTAAAAACTACATGAAAATTAAAATATTTCATGTGGCAATGTGTGACTGGTTGTTTGGCCTCGTCCAACGACTATTTTATCACAATATTGGTAGAAATAAAGGATATTCAAGATGTGGTGCAGAAGAAGAAACGATCAATCCCTTGATCTTTGAATGCCCTCCTGCTAGACAAGTCTGGGCCCTCTCCAACATCCCATCCTCTCCAACAAGCCTTGTTTTTCTCACTTTCACTCTACAATAATTTAGATTATTTGTATTGGAGGGGTAAAGAGGCGGGTGCGGATGAAGAGAGCCTAAGAGTATTTTCATGGATCATGTGGTATATCTGGAAGGTGCGCAATCGAAAGATTTTTGAGAATTTGTGTGTACCATCTCTGAATACTTTAGATCTCGCAATGCAAGAGGAAGGGGCGTGGAGACGAGCAAATCATCAAGAAAATCCCTAGGCCGAGACGGACCATAGTCTGCAAGTGACGCCAATTCCAGTGGATAGACCGGTTTGCTATATTGATGGATCCTGGCATGGGTCGGAGGCTAGGAATGGACACAGATGGCTTGTTTATTATGGAGGAATAATGCTCCATTTAAGACTTAAAAGCTTGCGTAGAAGTCTTTCCCCCCCCCCCCCCTTTATTCGGAACTGGGGCTCTTTTGTGGACGATGAAGTGGTTATTGGCGATTCCTATGACGAGCATCCTCATTTTGACTGATTGTTTGGATCTTTTAGAGATGACTTCTAACCCCGAGGAATGGCCTAAGTTCTCTACAGAGTTGTTGGATTTTGCGTATTACATGGATTTATTTTCTACTTTTAGTTTGAAGCATATCCCTCATAGTGGTAATACTTCCGCTGATCATCTTGCGAAATGTGCAAGAGGTCGCAGGTTCTGTTTTTCCCATTTAAGTTAGACGGTACCCGACTGGCTTTCTCTAGAAGAGAGTTCTTCTCCGTGAATTTATATATGGTGTTTGATTGTAAAAAAAAAACACAAAAAGACAAAAGTATGAAAGATTCACGGTTTTCAAAAAATAAAACATTTCCTATGAAAAGCCCTACGAGATTATGATCATAAATCATCTTCTTCTTTTTTTTTTAAGTTTAACGGTTATCCAAACTTGGATTTTACCATCAATTTCTCGGAGATCGGAGGATTGGCTTTGCGTTTGTAAGTTTGCTAGGTAGAGGAATCGACAGAGGGGAGACAAAGTATCATAGAATAGTTCTATTCCGTGAGGCTTGTTGCGGGTCGGCTAATCGACAGCGACAGATCATATATGGGATCCAAATACTCCGATCAAGGATCTCGATCCGGCGTATTAGCCACAAAGTAGCGGGCCTTGTATTCGACAGTGCTGGTAGAACAGATTCGCTGCTTCTAACCACATCTAGATCCAACCGCGTTTTTCTGTGTTGGTGTGTCGTAATTTCTTTTCGTTTTGTAACTTTGTTTCTCTTGTAATTTTAAGGGTCAAGCCCATTTAAGATTAGGTCCTAATTACTAATATAAGTTTTTTGTTAAAAAGAAATATTTGCATACTCTTTTTCTTCTGCTTAACTTTCTTTATTTTATTTTTTGATAAATGACTTCTTTATTGAAGACAACTGAAAGAGATTAACTCAAAAGTAAATAAATTTTCATGGATATCGTTTATTTTAATTAAAATCCAAAAAAAAAGGAAAAAAAAAAGAAAAGAGAGAGTTTGTAAAAGTCACAAGATATTGTAGCTCATGCTTGGAAAGAATGTTAAAGCATGGGAGAAGACTCAGGCTATAGACCATATATAATTCTTTAGAGCAAATAGGCTTATGATAAAAGTCATTTTTTAGAAAATTTTCATTTTTTAGATATTTTGTAAGACAAGCCAATTGAAACTTCGGAAACATTAATAAAATATTTCACGCTTTCATGCAGAACCAGAAACCTTAAGATATACATTTCAATCTGAAGTGTTTGAAGTGGAGTGGTATGCTTTCTCCTCTCTAGCCGAATTACTTTTTATCATTCAACGTTTGCTAAGTTCTTACTTTTGTTTCTTTCTTAATTCCTCGTGCTTTAAATAAATCATCTAATTATTTGGTTGTTTTGCTAAGTTACCTGTAATTATTATTTTTTCTATGAATGTAAAATTATATTCACCAAAAAAAACTATTTTACAATAAATGCAACTTAATGACAAATAAAATTTAAGAGACACAAAGAGTTTTAAAAAAATTTGAAACAAGACTAGAAACTATGTACTGAAACCAGAATTAATCTGAGGATGCCTTCGTAATCGGAAGAACTTGAAGTTACGGGTAATTAAAATTTCATGTGGATGTTAGTATGCTCCTTACTAGCACGTTTGTTGAAGTTATAATATATTACTTCCATCGATTACAAAAAGGACATAAAACAAATATTGTTTTAGAAAAGTTATAGATTACAAAGACCAAATGCAATTTATTTAAATTTAAAATGAACGAACAGTAAACTAGAAAATATAATACACAATTCACGTACAGTAAAAAGAAGAGCAATACTTGGGTTCATTCTTAAGGGTGAATCTTTTTATTCATCCATTTTTATTTTAACCAATCAGAATTCGTCACATAATAAAATAAAAAAACTCATTTAGTTATTAAATCTAATTCCTAACCACTCATTTAGTTATTTTATATCTTGAATTTTGTTTCTACTCATTTACATTTACTCATGAAACTCTAAAACAAGTCATTTCAACTTAATTAATATATAAAAAATTTCAAAGTTTATTAATGTTGAATAACACCAGATTTTAATAAATGATTGGAGATTTTCATTGAATAATACCAAATTTTATAATTTTAAGAATCAAGATTGAAAAGTATCAGATTCAATAACACTTTAAATTTTAAAACAATATCCATATTCATTGATTAAATAACAAATTATGCTTAAATAAATATTCTATGATTTAACTAGATTGTCACATGGTAACAAACCCTAGTGAGTGGCTTTTTCGTATTAAAGGCCCAGTAAGGCCTTTTGTCAATAAACCCATTAGCCCAATAAAAACTCTTCTTCTCTTTTCATTTTTTTGACGTCAATTCAATAAACAAACAAATTAGAGTATCAGACGTAACCGAATCAAAAACAAAATTGCTTTCATCGATCGTTAAAACCTAAGAAATGGATCCAAAATCGCCGGAATTTATCATTGATCCGCCGCTGAAAATCTTAGGATTTGTATTCGAAGAGCTCTCCGCCACCAGAGTCGCCGGCCATCTCACCGTAACTGAAAAATGTTGCCAGCCATTCAAAGTCTTGCACGGCGGCGTTTCGGCTCTGATCGCTGAGGGACTCGCCAGTCTCGGCGCCGGAATCGCCTCTGGTTATAAACGCGTCGCCGGAATCCATCTCTCAATTCACCACCTCCGACCTGCTGCTCTCGGCGATATCGTCTTCGCCGAATCTTTTCCAGTTTCCGTCGGCAAAAATATTCAGGTAACCTATACATATACTGATCATACACATATACACAGCTATATATGTCAAAAACAAATATATTTTTTTATATATATATTTGGTTAAAGTCTTGAAGAATATATAAATATTGAAAATAAATTTTGCATTTTGAAAAACATTAAGCTTAATTATCACGTATTAATTGGTAAAAGTGACAAACTAATAATGTTTATCCATCATGTTTATTTTTTTTTATCAAACCAATTTTTCTTGGCTGTAAATGGTAACATGTATTTGTGGAATTCTTGAGGAATTTATGTGGAAAAAAATACATGTTACATCATTTGTATATGAGGAACTGTTGTGGAATTTTTGATCTTTTATCATAGTGGTCCCACTTCATTCTTTGATTTATTGAATTAATCAAACCTTCAACAAATAGAAAACAAGCAAATAATATGAGAGAAAATCAAACAACGAATCTGTGATGCATTTCATTAGTAAATTTTGATATGTTTTTTTGAATAATGTATTTTGAAGTTTATTTTTAGGAACTAATAATTTTTAATATTTTTTTATATTTTTTGTTTTGTTTTATTTTATTTTATTTTGTGGATAGTCTTGGATGTTCGAGTATTTGGTTCGGTTTCAATTATGTAATTTTTGGTTTTGGATATTTCGATTCTCGAATTAAGTATACATGCGGTTATTTTAGAATTTCGGTTAAAATTTGGTTCGGTTCCGAGTATTTTGGAGCATTTCGGTTTTTTTTTGAATCAAGAACCAATTAGGAACAAAAAAAACTTCGAATATTTTTTAGTTCCGGTTCTTACCCAAATAACATTTCGAATATTTTTGGGAAATTTTCAGATACTTTTAGTGAATAGTATTTTTTGGTTATTTGGATTTTTTATTATTCGGTATAAAACTAACTAATGTTTTAGATATATAATTGTATTTCGGTTTTATACAGGTATCCAAAATATTTTGATTTCGGTTCTTTCGGTAATGAAGTTTAAGATCCATTTGGTGTTTTTGTCAGTTTCGGTTTGGTTTCGGCGAAACATTTCTCTAGCTAATAATTTTAGAAGTTTAGTCGATTAGATTTTTAAAAAAATTCAGCCAGATTCAGCAGTTACCATTTGAACTATAAATTATTCAGCCATATTCCGCAGAAAAACACAAATATATTCAGCCAGATTCAGCAATTCAGCCAGATTCAGCCAGATTCCGCGGTTACCATTTAGACCCAAGGTAAATTTTTAAAAATTGAAATTAAACATGTGATTGATGCAATTACTAAATATGTTTTACAATTTTTTTTTCGTTTATATATATAAATTGTGAACCTTATTTTTGTGAAATCTTAATTATTTCACCTAAAATGAAAATTGGAAAAAAAATATATGTAAATGAAAAGACTTGTGAGTTTGACTTGTAAACTATTCCGGCAAGCAAAAGCAGGTGTTGTACCAATTGTCGGGTACTTTGATTTTGTTAGCATGCATTTGACTAAACCAACGCAAAATATTTTTATTTATTTTACGAATAAACATTATCGTAGATTGAAGACCCAAAATGTGAAAGTGACACGAGAGGCTTAACACAATTTTGTATCTAACTAGGTGTGGGAGGTCCGGTTATGGAAAATCAAGAAAACCGAGAAACCGGAGAACAAGAAAATGGTATCAACATCGCGGGTTACTCTCTTCTGCGGTTTACCTATACCGGACCATGTAAAAGATGCTCCGGACGAGCTGAAGAAAGTTATATCCAAGTTGTGATTCAAATTGTATCTCTCTTGTTGTTGGGAATAAGAACAGTTTTAGTTTGGTTTTATTGTATGATCTACCAAACGATTAAATAAACTGATGTATCAGCCTATCAGGGATGACATATAACTATAAAAATTAGACAAGTTATTGTGGGTTTTAGTTTATAGATCATTTTAAAATGTGGTATTAATAGACTATCTTGTTGAAAGGTCCAAATTCTATAGATGGGGTCATAAAACGAAAATCTCTGCAAATATGGAAACTGCTTCTTAGTAAAAACAAGAGATTCTTCTTTTTATCGAAGGCTATTCGAGAACACAATGAACGTGAATGGTATAGCAGTTGTTACATATTACTTGGATAACAAGAAATTTATCCATATTTTCAATAGAAATATCATTTGTTACAAAGTTCAAATTTCTTTTGGTTGTGGTAATTTGTTTTACCAGGAGATACGACGCAAAATCGATGGTATATTTGTTTACTGATAGAATTCTGTTTTTTTCACATAATAGAAAGATAAATAATTTTTAAATTTTCTGTTTTAGTGTGATATGCCCATATATAGTTACCACAATCTAACCGCATACCACATCTATAAAACCAGAAGATAAATTTTAAGATATGTTTTTCACATCATAAGGTGAAATTTATCAATACCATAACATTAAAATTTTCAAACAAAGAAGAAAGTCAAGATGGATATTAGTTTTTTGATGGAGATATTATTTGGTTGATTTCTTTCTTCTTTAGACAACAACATCCAGTGTGGAGTCTAAATGTTCCACAATACCATCCATTTTTATACCCTTTGCTTAAGCAAATCGTATCACATACGCTTGTACACTCTGACCGAAAACAAACGGCGTCATGAACGTCAATAGCGTTTATTTTATCTGTAAAAAAATATCATTAAAATCTAGTATGATAAATCAAAATAGAAAATTTCCAAATAAATTACTTTTGTTCAAGTTGGTGTATTTTGCTGAATGATGTACAATAATAAGTAATTTAAAAATCTAAGATATTATGGTTTATATCTAGAAAATACCCTACTAGAAATCAATATAGTTTGTGTATAAGGTTTATGGGTTTGTAAATCGACTTACATGCCATCGCAAACAAGAGAACAATTGTTATGGCAATGAATATAGGTGATTGTTTCTTGTTTTGCATTGTTTTTGAGGTATCAATAGCTATTGTTACCACTATTTCTCAAACTATGAAAATTTTTCTCTCTCTCTTTTTAGATGTATCTATTGAGATCAAATTGCTCTTATATAGGTTTTGATTTTTTCAAATAAAATAAATCAATAAGAGCTAAATTTGTATTCTATTTTTTGATATTATTAACATATCCAGTAAATCTAAATGTACAAAAGTAAAAACAGAACAAGCATTAAAGGAAGAATATCTTTTTTCAAAAAAAAACAATTAAAGGAAGAAGATCAGCATGGGTTTAAAAATGCCTAAATTATGTAAATGCCAATAAATAAAATTTTATTTAAGAACATTACAAAATGAAAAATTGATATAAAAAACTATTAATAGAAAATTTGGTAATATTTAATATACTATTTTGTTAAATAATCTTTAAAATATAGTATTTCAGATTTCAGATAAAGAACTACACAAAATTTATTTTACAGATCTAATATATAATATATATGAGAACAAGATAGAAAGAACTAATAATCTACTAAAAAAAAAGATAGAAAGAACTAATGAAAGAAGATCCGTATGAGTTAAAATAATTAGGTAAATGCCAAGAAATCAGATTTCTTTAAGAAAATGGCAAATTGGAAAGCTGTTATTAAGAAATAACAAAAAGCTCCTTGTAAAAGTTTTGGAAGACATTTAACGTACGATTTTATTGGATATACAGTACCTTTAAATGTATTTTTATTGGGTATCTCATAGAAAATAAATATGCCGATATTTAGCGCAGTAAATCATGTGAGCAATTTTTACTGGAGAGTATTAATCCGCAAATGCATGGTTTAATTTATGTGGTCTGGTAGTGTCAGTGAGATCAAATCCAATGACTTGGTTCACACAAAGGATTTGCGAGATTAGTTTTAAGTTATACTTCCCGACGACCGATTTAAATGATTTATGAAGCACAAGAGATCTAGGAGAGTGAGCTTTCATCCAGAAGTGGTCCTGAGTCATTCCCTTAAACGGTTCAAAAGTTATAGATAGTTTAATGAAAACATTTCCAGCAACCTCGCGTATGAAGTGACCATAGAAAGGAGACATGACAAAAAAACATGAACCCGCGGCTAGAGTCACCGTCCCTGTTACTAGAGTGACATTTCATACAATCCTCCTCTTTTTCCTTTTTCAACTTTGAAAAAACCCTAACCCAACTCTGAAGCCCCAAGACATTATATATACTCATTTTTAATAAGGTTTTCGACACAAACTTCATGAGAGAACATCTTCCAAGACTATGAACAAAAAACAAATCCAAAAACACTTTTAGATCTCGACTCTTTGTACTTCGATATAGAGATGTTTATGAACCCGTTATATTCTATTTCCTTTGATTTATGATTATGAATATGCATTCCTACACAATGTTTCCTGCATGTTCATTGATCATATGATTGAGTAACTTTATTGTTGGGTTTTTAGGGCTTATGAAAGGAGACCTCTTGATTGATTAACTTAGATGCTTGGATTTAGAATTGTTTTCCTTCACAAAAGTTCTTCGTTCTTTGCTTGTTCTTATTATTGACTATTGATTTGCTGGTCACTTAGTGATTGATCGTAGGAATAAAAGAACCACGAAAGTGATGCATCTATTATCTTGAACTAGCGTAAACGAGATTGATGTCATAACCTTTGAAAGTATAGTTCTGATGTTCTTGTGTACAAATCGAATCAGATTTTTATCATATGTTTTATTGTTTAATTGGATGTGAGAGTTGACTCATTAGATTGGTAGATATAAATGATTAACGCTTTGAAAGTAGATTGATCATACACATATAGATTCAAGTAGATTGATTATATGTGAAAATATTTTATGCATATATTATCAATAGAAGGTTTATCCATATAAAGTTTGAACAATACTTTTAAGAAATTTACTTATACAAAAATATTAAACCGCAATATATTTTGTTTTACGTGGAGACCCGATGGAAAATTGATAGGTTGACTCTTTTTAAAGAAAAAAAATAAAGGTTCTTGCTGACAAAATTCTAATTTTCAAATTAATCAAATGATAAATATTTAATTATTTTAGTTGTTTTTAGTTTGATATGCGATGGTTTTTTACCACTCACATACTTCAAAGTATTAACAAAAGAGATGTCTATAGCGTGATCTTCTTCACTTATGTTGACATTTAAGCTTCCTAAATTTAAAATTACTTTCAGAAGCTAAGTTATCATCTATACCTTGTGTTCCTCCATTTAAAATTACTAAAGTTCTATTTCATGTAAATTATTTTTGGCTTGGACTTAGGTTAATAACTGCTCTCTAATGCTTTCTAATACATAGTAAGAGATTTAGGTTCAATATCACCTTATGGAAAAATTAGCCACCATCATGCTTAACAAATTCTTGTTTGTCTTTCTCGAGCTTTTTAGGATCTCTATTTTTTCGATCACTTTAAATTCGTGGGTATCTAATAGTTCTTATCATGTTCCTCTAGAACTGAATCCAATCCCATAATCTCGAGTTGACACAAGATCTTATGTTTCTAGAGATCAAAATATCTCTTTACATCAAATTCCTCTATTTTAAAACGACTTGCAACCGTATGCACGAAATTATGCCATATTTGACCTCAATAATATTAACTTGCTTTTGTTTTCAAGAGATACTCAATCGTCAAACAAATCATACTTAGATGTGGATCTATTGTCGTCGGGTCAGAGAACCTGATCACGGCAAGTCGCAAGTTAGGTCACAGATTGGCTTACAAAGATTTTTAAGCTTCTCCCACAAACATCCACTTAAGAAATAGTAAACCTATTCAAAACGTTATATACAACATTTCTAAATCCCATCAACATTATATAACTAAACACATTTCAAAATGTATCAACACAGAAATTTGAGACTACTTTTGACAGTAAAACGAAAAAACAAATACTCACCTACTAGACTTTCAAGGTCCCGTTCAATGCAAAGTTACACACATGAATTAATGCTATATAGTTCGGCCAAGCCTAACTAAAATTTTATTCCAAATAATTTGTCAAATTTTCTTAATTGATAATTTGTCAAAATTTTCTAAACAATTCAAAAATGTTAACTTGATCGAGTATACATAGCCATGAGACTAATTATTCGCGATCCGAGATCCGCTCCGAAAAACAAGATATTCGGGTTGGACGGATCCGGATCCGAGTAATGAAAAAGCGGATCCGGATCCGGATAATAGAAAAAATTAAAACCGGATATCCGGATCCGGAATATTTAATATTATAATAATATTTTAAATATTTTATTACTTTTATTTAAATTTTATTATTAATTTTAGTATCTTTTATATAATAATAATCTTTTTAATTATTAAATTATTTTTCTTTTAATCTTTCTCTTCAAATTTTATATTAATAAAACTAGATTTTAACCCGCGGTATACCGCGGGATGATTTAATTTTAAAATTAGTATAAAAATATTTTGTAAATTGTATCTCCTTATAACATATTTATTTATATTATAGTTTATAATTGTTATTAAGTAACGGTATACCACGAGTCCACGAGACAATTATTAATAAACGGAGGATTTAACCCGTATTAAAGCGGTATATAAATATTGATTCAAATTCGTCCGCCATATAAATCCTTTCCGAAATATAACTTGTTCCGTAATTTTTTAACCCATCCCGTGATTTATTTTTATTTTAAAATTTAATGATTATTTATTATATATAAAAGTTTACAAATCATATCATCCTCTAAGACCACAGGACATTATACCACGGGACAATTTTTGGTTTTATACAATCTTTTCTAAATGAGACTGATTTAATATGTCTAATACTTGTGGTATTAAAAAAGAAGATTTAATCCGTATTGAAACGGCGGATTAATGATATTTTAATTTTTTTATTATTGTTGATTCAAAAACCTGTCCCGCCAA